AGTTTTTCTCAGGGAGGGGAATCTCCATCAGCCCACATGTTGATGCACCTGTCCATCGGGGAAATTCCCTGCTTAGCTTGTGTTCACTGTGATCGAACTGGCAGCAGCCTGGAACTTCCCCAGGGGTCCTGCTGGCCCAGCGACTTTGCATCATTTGAGTAACAGCAGAGTGGAGGGACCACTCTGCACTTCATGGAAATATGTATTTTCTCCTCTGTGAGTCACCAAAAACTACAGTGTATTGCAACCCCTTGATCTTGCTCTTTTTTTCAATATGTAAATGACTGTCATTACAGTTCAGGAAGTGCAGAGTCTGAGCAGGGAGGACGACATGGAATCAGTGAATTTAGATCTGAAAGCCACCGAGAGGTTGCTGCCCCCCCCCCCACCCCCTTTGCAGGAGGCCCGACGGGGAGGGGACTTGTGAGGTCACCCAGCAGCCCTTGACTTGGAGCCAGCGGCAGCGGCTTGACTCTGCAGAGCAGTGGCCAGTACGGTGCCCTGTTTCCCCACCCCGCCCAGCAACCCCAGCCCACCCTTGGGAGCGCCAGAAGGTGCTTGTTGTGTGGGGGTTGCTTTCATCTGCACGGTCACCTGAGAGATGTGACAGGCACTTACCGGAAGCAGTGACTTTGATGTTCTGGGTGACAAGACCCAAGTGCATTGGCAGGAAGGGAGGTTTTTGGGGTTGATGAAATGAAAACTATGTAGCTTTGGGGTTAATTTAATAAGTTAACACTCTGGGGGTGGAAGGATGTGTGTGAGGGAAAGTTGAACGTCAGCGTAGGTACAAAAAGGAAAGTTTGAGGTAGAGAGCAAGGAGGTAAAATGCTTCCACATTTCAGGGAAAACCACCAGTGAGGACAATCCCCAGAAACCGCCTTCCTCCAGTTGCCACCACACCCTCCGCTGATGGGAGAGGGTACACAGCCCTTGACGGCTTGCAAACATTTTCATGTGTGCTGTCTCCTGCAGTTCAACGAGAGGACCCGACAGGCCCGTGTGGGCCACTCATAGGGGGATCCGTGTGGGCCCTGGAAACCCAGAGAGCACCGACTCCCGTTACCCGTTCTTGGGCCTCCTCCTCTCCCTCCTGGAGTGGCAGGGAGGGGGCTGGATGCTGGAACTAGCTTCCCAGAGAGCTGGGCGCCTTTGCTGCCACTGGGTGTCTGTGCTGCTCGAGCTGTCAACTGGGACAGTCAGGGTCTTCCCGCTCTTCGGCTGATGGGGGGGTGCGACCAGCTCTTGACCCCCTGCGTGAAAGCAGTGAGAGGGCTGCTGTGGGCCGCTGATCCTTCGGTCCCTCAGCTGTGAGGATGGGCCTTGGAGACTTCGCACGCCCCGGCTCCCTGGGCCTGCACAGCTTGGGCTTCGCCCACAGGGCTCGCCCCGGTGGGAATGGAGACAGCTTCTTTTTCCCTCTTGTGTTAAAAATTGAAAGCGCACAGTGGTTGTGAACAGCTCAGTCATTCTCCAGGCCAAACCTGATAATAGGGTTCACAGCGAAGACCCCTCCCAGCCTGGCCCCCAGACCGCTGCTGTTGCCTTCGCCTGGCTTTGCAGTGTCGAGCTGTTCTGGAAGGAAGATGTGCATCCCCTGGCATCTTGCCGAGAGGCGGCTGTGGACAGTGCTGCCTGGGCGCCGAGGCTGGGCTCTGTGCCCTTGGGTCCTCACAGCCGGGGCCTCAGCATTACCAGGCTGGGCCTGGGCTTTGGGGCAGACTGGTCTGGGGCCTGCTGCTCCTGGCCCTGCAGGTCTCTGGGTTCTGCTGTGGGGCCCCCAGAGAGGCAGCAACCTGGACTCACGTCCCAGGTCACCTACGTGCCAGCTTCAGACCCGGGCCAGATCCTCCCTGGAGCCTCAGTTTCCCCCAGTACGGAATAGGGGGACTTTCTCACAATAGAACGTGCCTGGCGGGCCTTGGGAAGAGCAGGTGCACAAAGCTGTCAGAGAGCGAAGCCCCTGGGCGGCGGTGCACATCTGTCCCCTCCTGTCCGAGGAGCCCTTCCTGGCCCCAAAAGCAGCGCTGGGATGAGTCATACCCAACCATCCTTCTTTCTTTTTCTGGCAGAAAGTGTTGGTTGTTGAAGTAAGGGAGCAGTTTAAACCCTTGTCGTTTTCTGCAGCACTTGTGAGCGCAGAGAGACGGCTTTGTGAGAGACCCGCGTGGACCTGACACAGCCCTGGGCACCTGTTTCTGAGCTGCTTCTCAGCTTCTGGCCATCTTTTCTTTGGCTGTGAGTTCAGACTGGCAGGAAAAATTACAGGGTGCTATCAAGAGCAGGTGCACAGCCAGATTCACCAGTTAACTCAGAATCCACCCCCCCCCCCGCCATGGGCACGCACAGCACAGTGTTGGAGAGTGCAGTCCACAATGCCTCTTTATCCCTAGTGTCCAGGGCCTACTTCCTAAGGACAGGGCCTTCTCTTAGGTGACCGCCGTGTGGCCCTCAGGCCGGGGAGCTGGGCACCTCCAGTCGTGTTATCTAGCCCACAGGCCAGACCTGCTCTCCTCAGCTGCCCAGTCAGGCCCTGCGGACTGTCCTGCCCGGCGTCCAGACACTACTGCACTTAGTAGCTGTGCCTCTTCACTTTCCTTTCCCAGGACAGTTCGGTGGCTGCCCTGGACCTTGACGTGTGTGGAGTTCAGACAGGTCACTTTGTAGAATGGTCCTCCCCTTGGAGAGGGGCTTCACTCCTGAGCTCCAAGCACAGCTTTCTGTCGGCTCGGATCCTCCCTGGCCCCAGGTAGCTAGTGGCCCCACGCGTCTTGTGGATGATGAAATGGAGGCCTGTGTAGGTCAAGTGACAGGCACATGGTTGCCTTCCCAGAAAGTGGCAGCGCTGGGGTTCAAATCAGGAATGTCTCATCCGCCTGCCAGGCTGGGGCAGTAACTCAGCAGTGAGGCCAAATTCAGCAAAGCTCAGATGCCCACTCTGAGCTGGGCGTGGCCACCCGCATTCTGTGCACCCACCTGGACATCCAGGCCTGCTGGATCTCGCCGATCCTGGAGCCAGGCTGGAGGCCTGCTGCCTCCGCCGACCTTGCAGGAGAGGCCCAGGGGCCTTTGTGTCCCCTCCCAGGGCCGTTTCCAGGGGGATCAGGACCTTGCCAGGCACCTGCAGGATGGCATGGGGGTGATTTCCAGGTCAGGGATCCTCAGCAGCCGCTCATTTCATGGCCGGCTCGCTCTCTCCCTCCTGCAGGGCAGCCAGAGGCCCTGGCTATGGGTGGCAGGTCCTGGCCGCCAGCAACACGCCCTTACTCCCTTTGCCCTGGCAACACCCAGGTGGCATTCAAGGCTGGCCGCCCTGGCGATGAGGCCAAGAATTATTCAGAGCTGTCTGTGTGTCACACTCCGGTACTGCATGTCCTCGTTGGTGACACAGGTAACCCCACCCCAACTTCTGTGTGGTGGTGAGCATTAGACACCCTGAGATTGGGATGTGTAGGATTCTACTGGCAGAGTGAAGAAGACCCCAGAGCACAGGGGCCCCAGGTCCAGCTTCTGGGTTCCCATCTGCCTCTCCTGTCCTGGGGGCCTGGAGCTCCGGGCCCTCCATCCATCAAAGCTCCGGGTGCGACCAGCATCACCATCCTGCACGGAGTCAGGCCCTGGCGCGGGAGGGAGCTCTCGGTCCATCACAGAGCCCTGATGTCCGGGCTATGGGACAGCGCATCAGGCACTGCCTGGGCGTGGCAGCTGCTCCAGACCTACTTCACATCATCTGTACCCCACTCCCTCTTCTGCAGGGTGCAGGATTCCTGAGGAGGGGAGGGAGGGAGCAGGCAGTCTCCTTTGTCCGTGGCCTGCCTTGACGCGTGTGGGGGCTGCTGGACAGCAGCTGAGGGGCTGAGCAGCCTGCCACTGGCCACCCAGGACCCCGCAGCCCCTGCCCTGACAGCAGGCGGGCCTTCTGCTGGGCCAGCTCCTGGGAGAAATGAGACGTTTGAGTTCCTTCATTGCCACGGGACATTGCTCCGTGTGTGTGCGCTTTAAAACATTAATTAAAAACATTAATCAATCTGGCTGCCTCGGAAAGAGTTCCTTCCTCTGTAGGAGCTCATGTTCGGGGTTCTCAGCCCTCTCAGCACCACCCTGCGAGGGGGCCCGTGACCTGCAGCTCCGTGCTCGGCTTCTGGAACCCCTCTGGCACAACTCACTCCTTTTACCCAGGTGGGGCGTCTGGGGGTGAGGTGTAGACTATAATCCACCCACTGCAGGTGTTTTTTACTCTGTGTCTGTTCACTGAGCCCCTAACTTCTGATGACCTGGCTGCTGGGTTTTTCGGGAAGGCTGGAGGGAGGCCTGGGAGGAGAAGGACCACCCCCGTTGATGCAGTCGTGACTCTGGGTGCCACACTACCCCTGCAGAAGAGAGGGCCCAGTGCCGGAGCCCATTGGGTTGAGCAGCCATCTTGATGTGAGGACCCCCATAAAGGGTAAGGTCCGGTGTCCCTTTCCCTGCTCTGTCCATCCCTGTGACCACTGCCTGTAGCCACCCGGATTGTCAGGTAGGATAAGAATCTGGAGTGCAGCTACGTTTTTGACGCCTCGATCATGCATGATGCCAGCGATACTCCTTACATGTTAACCTGATGACAGGCTAAGGTTAACCTCATGCACCCCCCAGGGCACAGTTCAGTCTGCCGTGGGCAGACCCGGTTAGGCGCAGGGATGGCCGCTCTCAGAACAGGGCTTGGGGCCCTGTTCCTCTCCACCAGAGTGGCAGGAATCGGATGTGTGAAAGCGCTTTTGCAGAAAGCGGGCACACGCTCTACGGGGTGGGATCTTGCAGTCAGGAGACCTGACGTGTTCTGAGCTGGCCGCTTGCGGTGCCCCGTCCACATGTCTGGACATCGGACAAGCGCCCGGCGCGAGCCCGTTGCCCAGCGGAGTCTGCACCTCTGACAGTTCAGCATGTGTAGGCAGCGCGTGAGCCATCTCTCAGTGCGCCGTGTGCTAATACATCTCTACCTCTCTATTGCTTATCTCTAGAATTCTGTGACGCCTGGAGTTAGGTGGCTTTAATCGGAAAGCAAAACCGCTCACCCAGGGCTGCAGAGGGACTTGAGAAGCGTCCTCCCCTGAACTAAAGCTGCAGTGTCTACAGAGTTCAGGTAAGGGACTGTCTCCTCTGCAGCTCCAGCAAATCTTTGGGAGTTGGTGACCTTTGGGGGCACTTGGGCTACGATTCTGGGCTTGTCAGCCTGGAGTCTCAGCTGCTCTCTGCGGCTTGCGCTGACTTCCTGAAACCCCGCACACACTCAGGCCCTCAGGACATGAGCTCGGGAGCTCTCCCTCCGTTCCGGGCGAGCCAGGCCACCGTCTGCTGGGGCAGTAGCACACGTCCGGCTCCTGGCAGCAGTTGGGGATGCCCAGCTGACTGGATGAGATTCGTAGGAACAGCACGAGAAGGAGCAGCGTGGGGCTGTGAGAGCCAGGCCTTTGGGGGCCTCCAGGGTGTGATCTCGTCCTCTCTCCCGGGCCCAGCGTCCACCTCCTCTCCCCCTCCTCCTCGCACCGCCTGGTAGGCTGGCTGGGCGACAGGATAGGAGGTCAGAGCCTTGGGCTTCCACCGGCATTCCTGGTTTTGCCATTGTCTCACCTCCCATCATCGCCTAGCTGCTTTGAGCCTGTTTCCTGCTTTGCAGAATGGGGCCATGCCTGTGTCATGGGCACTGAAGGAGACAGTGGAGATGGGACTGAGCTTGCTGCTTGGCAGGAGGCGCAGATGCGTCCAGCAGAAGAGTGCTCCTGTCCTCCTAGTTCATGCCCGTGCCGTGTGCCTAGCCTGCGCCAGGCTGTTTGCAAGTCCTCTGTTCTTGCCGCCTTTCATCTGTGGGGTGAAATCTGTGCGGGGCAGCGGCTCGTGAATCACCTTCCCCCTGAATAGAGCTGATTATGCCCTCCGGCCCCGCAATGTAAGCCCTGTCTCCTGGTTCCCTTATGTTTTGTGCTTACACCACCCCCACCCACCCCTTCAACTCATGGTGCCCTTGTTGTGAGCAGAAAAGCTCCCCCATTAGTAAGAATCAAAAGAACGTTTTGAAGGTGTAGCATGAAGAATGAGGTCAATTGCAGTTGTTTAAACAAGATATTGAAAAGAATATAATTCACACAATGAAGAAATGGGACATGTCCCCACCCAGATTGGAAAACGGTGAGGGGACAGGGCGGGTGGGGGCCTGTGGGCCGTGGGTCACAGGGAAGCCAGGCTGGCTGGGGTGCTGCTCTTTCGCTCCCGGCAGCATCCAAGGATCTGTATCTCCTGGTGCTGAGTCCAGGAGAGGGGGAGCAGAAGACCCGGCCTTGCAGTCCAGATTGGGGAGCCTGACACGGGGGCCATGTTCAAGGACGCTTCCTGGAGAACCCTTGTAGAGACCTACCGGGGCTGACCCGCTAGCAGTTAGAAGTGCCTTTGACTGTGGGACGCCCTCCCGGATTTCGCATCATCATCTAGTTTCCTGCTTCCGGTGTCAGGCCCCTGTTGCCCTGGGATGTTCCTGTGAGTGGCACACTCCAGCACCCAGCCAGTCTTGAGCTGTGTGTGTTTCGGGAGCCACACATCTGAGGCAGGCGTGCGGGAAGAGCCCAGCGGCCACTCCTGTGCCGTCCGCTCCTGTGCCGTCCGCTCCTGGGCACCTGCAGGGCTGGGCCTGCTGTTCCCAAGTCTGGGGAGGGGCAGATAGAACCCCAGTCTGGGTGGGGGAGGGGCTGGAAGCAGGAGGGACCATTTCTTGTGGCCTTGGCTGCAAATACGAGCCATGTTGCCTGCGTTCTGTGCTCAGAGGAGAGGCTGGGCAGGGCTGTCTGGGGATGTAGGGAGAGGATTTCCCTACAAGTCTGCCCCTGGGAGCAGGGAGAGGGAACGTGGGTGGAGGCCTGTATTCTGAGACACACAGCCAAGCAGGGGCAGGTCTGTGTGGGGACTCAGAGAGGCCCAGCACTTATGCTGCTGCAAGTGGGTCTCCCAGGCCCGGAGACCTTGCTGCCCCGTAGGGTGCCCATCTGCCTGCATCCCAGCAGCAGCCTGCTTGTAGGCCATGAGCCAACGGGGGTGGGGGGACAGGCCTCATCTCCCATCCCACAGCCAGAGCCCTGGCACCAGACACCTCCCTGCCCTGGCACGGAGCACCAGCTTCACCTCCCAAGCCCCTGGGTTGCTGGCAAGTCCTATGTACCTCTCCTTGTCCATAGTGGAGTGGACAGGCCCTGTGAGGGTGGTCATGGGAATATAGACCCAGGCCCAAGAAAGTGAGCATGAACCCTTGCAATTTGACCTCTCCCCGCCCCCCTGCTCCTCTTGCTCTCGCTCACCCCAGGCCCTCCGTGGCAGATGGGGCTGCTTCTTTTCACCCTTCTAACCTCCTCACCCTCCTTTTGCTCTCTGACTGCTCTCCCGGCCCTGCCTCCTCCTGGGGGCAGCCCGGGCCCAGATGGGCGCTCCCAAGCTGGCCTTTCTGGTGAGAGGGCATCGGGCACCTCCTGCCTGTGGACACAAGCTGGCCATGGCCTGCAGCCGCCAGGCATCCACATGAGTTGAGGGCAGCTTCCTGTCCTTACTACTCCCAGCGCCGGAAGAGCCCAGCCAGCTCAGAATGGCGCACTTGAAGCAGAAATGTGCCCTCAGAACGCCTCCGGCGCTGGCCTGCTTTGCTGTCATCACAGTTTCTTGTGGTTTCATATTGAGGTTTTTGGCTCATTGCATTTGACCTGGAGTTTATTTTTAGCAGTGAAGACAGAGTTTAATTAATGTCAAACGGGTGGGCCCATGCAGAGGAGGGACTGGTAAGTCTAGGGGAAACGTGCCAGGCTTTGTCTCGGGGAACATGGGTCACAGCCCAGGATGCCAGGCTTCCTCGGGGTGCCTGGCCGGGGGGGCTGATGAGGAGGTGGGGGTACTGTTCTCCTCCTGAAAGTGAAAGTGCGGTCTCTTGCCGTCCAATTACCCAGCAGGCCACACAGCCCTTCTTCCCCAGGTCACGCTGGCGGCAGTGATCATACTAATTAGAATAGAGGGGAGGCCAGGCTTTCACTCCCACAGATGCCCTCTCTTCGGAGCTTATCCTGGGCGGTGGGAGGCTTCAGAGCAGCCTCGGGGCTGGCTCTCTCCTGCCCTGGCTCCCAACAACAGCGCAGGTGCACAGGGCATGCTTGGAGGAGGTTTATGTGGATGGGCAGAGATGCACTTTTGAGAACCCTGAGTTTGGGCCAGCGAGGCCCTCAGTCCTTCAGAGGCCCTCTGCCTGCTTCGGAAGCACAGCTAGCTGCTTTGGGCTTTGCAGTTTATGAAGTCCTTTTTCACGCTTTCTCCTTTCTTGTATTCCATGACTGCTGAGAACACTGCCTCTCTGCAGAGGCCCTGGAAGGAAGAAGAGAGAAGCCGTGTGCTTGCTTTGGAAGAAATCAGAAACTGGCTTATAGGTCTTGTGGCGCTGGACTGCTGTTTCGCGCCCGATCCCCAATCCTTGTGGAAGCCCACCCCTGGCATGGTGGGGCTGGGGCGGGGAGGCCGTGGTCTTGGGGTGAGCCCTTCTGGTGCGTGATTGGTGTCCTTAGAATAGTTCACATTGCAGAGGACTTTCCTTCTCTGCCCCCCCACACCAATGTGAGCACCCTGACCTTGGACTTCAGCTTCCAGGCCCTGTGGGAATAAATATCCCTGGCTGTGTTGCCCAGCAGGGTTCGGGGGGGGGTGTCTCATGTCAGCAGCCCTGGGACAGGCCTGTGTTCACAGAGGGGTGCTTTGGAAACAAAGCAAGGTTTCGTAGATGAGCCTTCCCTGCTGGGTGATGTGGATCTCAGATTTGAACCTGGATCTTCTAAATCCAGGTGTTCAAACCTGGGGACCCCCAGTCCACACAGCAGCTGTGTCTGGCTTCTCCCTGGCTGCCAGAGCCTCTCTGCTCCCTGCCACCCGCTCCGCCCTCCCTCCCTGGCCTCTCTGCCGCGGCCATCTCCCTCCCTCCATCGTCCAGCTCCTTTCTCCAGGTGATGTGGAACTTTCTCTCAAGGGGGAGGGGGCGTGCCGCTTGCTGCCGCCGCCCTGCCCAGCCCGAGTGTGGGACTATCCCGATGTGGCCTTGGCCCCTTCCTGGGCCTCTCCCTTCCTGGCTGTGGGCCGGGTGCTGTCTCCAGTGTGGGACACAACAGAGCAGATGAGGTAGATGAGCCATTCCAGTACACAGGGAGAAGCGTGTGCCGCGTACCCTGTGGGCTCCGCTATGGGGCTGGATATCTGTGCACCCCATCTTCCCTCTCCTAGGCTGAAGCGCTCCCCACCCCCTCCCCAGCGGGGCTGTATTTGAATTATGGGAGTAATTAGGGTTAAATGAGGTCATGAGGGTGGGACCCAGCTCTCAGAGAATCAGTGTCCCTGAAGAAGAACCCCTGGGGCTTGCTCCCTCTCTCCCCCACATGTGAGGACTCGGCAAGCGGGAAAGCTAGTCCCCACCAGAACCCTTGATCCTGGGCTTCGGGGCTCCAGAATGACCAGAAGCACATCTGTTGTGTAAGCCGCCTGCCTCTGATGTTTGCCGGGGCAGCCAGGGCAGCTGTGGACACACTGCAGGGGGTGGGGGGGGGGTTGGTGGCCTCGGCCCCACCGACCCCTTTAAGTGCTGAGCCCTGGCCAGTTACCCTCAGCTCTGTGCCGGTGCAGTCTGTCCACTGGTGCTCGGGGTTCCCCTGCGCGGGGCCCGGCTGCTGGTCTTTGCTCTTCTCTTCCTCGCTTAGACAGAACTGGGTTATTTCTCAAACTTGCCCGTGGTCACAGCTTTGGGCGCCTGGAACTCGAGGCGGCCCTGGGACCCCCAGGGGGACCCCCTGGGGGGACCCTGTGGGCACAGGCAGCCGCGTATCCTGCGGGGGTTTTGGGTGTCCTCCCGTGGTCTCTGCTTTCCCTCGGCAGTCAGCTTGCCTCTGAAGTAGCCAGGCATCTACTTGGCCCCTGGACTCAGGTCCTGTCCTCGGTGAAGGGGGTCGAGTGTGGTGATGAAGGCAGCGCGCCAGAGCCTTGCCCGGTGTTCCCAGCACCTCCATGCGGCCTCCAAGCGCCCCACGGAGCACAGGAGGGTCGGCCAGGTCCCCAGGCCGGGAGTGGAGCAGCCTCCCTGTG